AGATGAGTAACAATGTGCAGTGCTCTGTGTTTAGCAAAAACTGGCTGAAGGGGAATGTTCTTACTAACCTACATGGCAATAGTGAAACCTCATCTCAAATACAGAGCATGGTTCTGGTCACGCGGTGAAGTCTCCTGCTGAGCACAGAGAGGGGACGATCTGAACTGGGATTGAGGGAACCCTGCTCATACAGGGGGTCCCTGGCACTGGTGGGGGCAGAAATGCCTCTGGAGCAGGGAAGTGTCCTGGGCTGCATCCCCAGAGCATGAGCAGCAGGTCAAAGGAGGGGATCCTGCCCCTCTGCTCTGCTCTCATGAGGCCTCACTTGCAGCATTGGGTGCGGTTCTGGTGTCCTCAACATGAGGACATTGAGCTACTGGAGCAAGTCCAGAGGAGGCCACAAGGATGCTCAGGGGCTGGAACAGCTCCTGTATAGAGCCAGGCTGAGAACATTGGGGCTGTTGAGCCTGGAGAAGAGAAGCTGCTGGAGACCTCAGAGCAGCTTCAGTGTGTGAAGGGGGCTACAAGGATGCTGGAGAGGGACCTTCATGAGGGACTGGAGCCATAGGACAAGGGGTGATGGGTTCAGACTGAAACAGGGGAAGTTCAGGTTAGATCTAAGGAAGAACTTGTTCCCTGTGAGGGTGCTGAGGCGCTGGCACAGGGTGCCCAGAGAAGCTGTGGCTGCCCCATCCCTGGCAGAAATGGCTGCCCCATCCCTGGCAGTGTTCAAGGCCAGGTTGGACACAGGGGCTTGGAGCAACCTGCTCTAGTGGAAGGTGTCCCTGCCCGGGGCAGGGGTTGGAGCTGGAGGAACTTTAAGGTTCCTTCAACCCAAACCAGTCTGTGGTTCTATGATAATGTATTTATTGTCTCCATTGTTGATGCCACCCTACTGTAGTCAAAGTCATGTCAGTTTTCTGGTGTGAGAAGTTAATTTTGGTTACAGAGCATGATTTTGACAAGCAGGGTGGCAGCAGCATTAAGGTATTCCATTTGAATCACAAAGGAGAGTAAATAGCAAAGGTGGAAGGTTAACTCAAATTCTTTTGCATTCCAGCTAGTTGTGTCCCATCAACATGTTCTGGAAGTTTGATTTGAACACAACATCGCATGTGGACAAGCTGCTGGACAAAGAAGATGTGACACTTCACGAGCTCATGGACGAAGATGACATCTTACAGGAGTGCAAGGCCCAGAACCGCAAGCTGCTGGACTTCCTCTGCCAGCAGCACTGCATGGAGGAGCTGGTCAACCTCATCACCCATGAGCCCCCCGTGGACATGGAGGAGAAGATCCGCTTCAAGTAGGTATTGGTTTCCTGGCTTATCATATGGAGAGAGTGGCGCGAGAGAGTTTGATGTTGGAAGTTGGTGCGAGGTGGATGGAACCTTCTCAGGTTCTCAGGTATGGTCAGGTACTTCTCAGCATTTCCTTAGTTGTGGTAAACTTTCAGAAGCTTGTTTCCTCATTTTTAGTGATCTAAGATTGAGTTTGTTTTAAATAATGGATCTCTTACTGATAACAAGTATCTCAGAAGTACCTTTAGTAAGTTTTTACCAAGATCACAAGCAAAGAGTATTCTGCTCTGGGTTGTAAATGTATGGGCTTGGTTGGATTTCGGTAGCCAAGCCCACAGAAGAAAGGGAGCTGCACAGTGAATAGAAGATGTCATATTTCCAGGGTCTGCATGCTGAAAACTTGCTGGTTTCGGTGGTCATGCAGGCAGGGACAGGCCCTGACTCTGCCAAGAGCCTGTCTCTGAGCCACAGTGGACTCCTCAGTTGTGCTCGGTTCTCGTAGCGAGTTGTGCTTATACATTGCTCACTGAACGTGTACTTGGAAATACTTACCCTTCGGGCTTGGGGAGTTTGGTTTTGCTTCCTTGGCTTGATGTGAATGAAAGGCTGCTCTGGGACTAACTGGCTGACTAAAGCCCGGCAGGCCCGTGGCTGTGGGAACATCACTGCTGGTCATTGCTGCTGCTGCGTCAGGTCTGGGCCGGGAATGGCAACTGCTCGGCTTTGTTCGGAGGGGAGAGGTGACCAGGGCCTCCAGGTGACCATTGCCAGGGAAGTGAATGCCAGGAAGTGCGTCCTGTCATCACCTGCAATACCACATGGCTGCTTTGCAAGGTTCCCGCTGGATGCTGGGAGTTACTGGGTGGAACCAGGAGTGTTCCACACTATTGTCCTACACAGGCGTGTATCGTACAGGTACTGCTCAACCAGGGACATGGGCCACCACAGCCTCCTGCCTTCCTTCATTTCCAGCATTACACCAGGTGTAACATCAGAATAAGTGGCTTCCCATGGGGTGACTGGCTCCGTGCTTAGAGCAGCCCCTCATCCATGTTGTTTGCACAGCTCACCTGAGAGGAGCTCAAACCCAGAAGGTCTGGTTGAAGAAGATGGTCAACACTTTCTTACTGCCAAGAGTTAAGGAGCAGATCAAATGCTGAACAGTTGGTCCCTTGATGGAACCTTGGTGTATTTTGCCAGAGGAGAGAATGAGGGTTTCCAGAACCAGTTCATACAGTGTCCATATCAGTGCAACTACTTCTCCAGTTATCCAGCCCTTATTTTTATGGCCTGTTCTTCTTGAGATCTTTGTGGCTGCTGTGAAAAGATGGTTTATGTCTCTGACCCTGTGAGCTGAAAGGTGGAAAATGAAACCTTTTCCTAATGTAACTGAACAGATAAAGAATAAGGGGCATTTTTGATAACAAAGGACATACGAGAGAGCTGGGCTGGGGCAGCTGGAGAAGAGAAGGCTCCTGAAGGGGACACCTTAGAGCAGCTCCAGTGCCTTAAAGGGGCTCCAGGAAACCTGGAGAGGGACTTTGGACAAGGGCCTGGAGGGACAGGCCAAGGGGAATGGCTTGAACCTGCCAGAGGGGAGATTGAGATGAGCTCTTGGGCAGAAGCTCTTCCGTGTGAGGGTGCTGAGGCGCTGGCACAGGGTGCCCAGAGAAGCTGTGGCTGCCCCATCCCTGGCAGCGTTCAAGGCCAGGTTGGACACAGGGGCTTGGAGCAACCTGCTCTAGTGGAAGGTGTCCCTGCCCACGGCAGTGGTTGGAGCTGGAGGAGCTTTAAGGTCCCTTCAACCCAAACCAGGCTGGGATTCTGTGACAGAAGAATTAAGAATTAGGATTAAGAACAAGATGGGGACAAACACAAATCTCTGAAGAAGCAAAATCCTTAACTCAGACCAAAAGTAAGAGGGAAGCTCAGTACAAGAGTGGTTACTCCTGGGCACCACTGACTTTCTCCTGCAGGATTTTGTGCCTTTTCATCAGCTTTTGCAGATATTGTGTGGTTTGGGCAGCTCCTGGCTGGCAAAAAGACATGGACAGAGACAGGCAGTGGTGGCAAGACACCAGCCTCCGCTGCTGTGGTGCCTGTGTAGCAAGAGAGAAAATCTTGTATTGGGAAGTCCTTAATCAGCATCTGACCGATGTCTTCGTCAGATGATGCCATTAAATCTTCTTCCTCTTCTAGGAGCAGCCCATAAGGTGCCTGCTCATAAGCTGGTGTAGGGGGGAGAAGTGTGGTGGTACGCTACGGATGGATAAGTAAGTCGTCGATGGCAGCAAGAACCACATAGTGACCTGCTTGCCAGGAGAAATAGAGCTGGTGTTTCTGAAGTGTCGTTTGGCAGGGCTTCCAGGAGCATGGGTAGACAGGAGGAGCAGTTTCAAAGCATGGCGAGGCACTGGAGAGGGGAAAGAGGGTTTAAGCTTATTAGAACCTGGGGAAGCTTTTGGAATAGATCAAGGTTAAGCAGGAAGAATGGACTCTGCCTAAATCCAAGTGGAATCCAGTTCTTGGCTCTTAAGAAAAGGTTGTGAAAGTTTCTAAAGTGGAACAGGGGAGAAACTCGATAGGTTTGGAAGGACACACAGCCGAGAATGATGTGTGCTGTGGAAATGGAATCGTCCAAATGCTTTCTTCCTGAAACAGCCGGAGGATGGAAGTTCATAAAGTTCAGAAGGGAAACCACAAAGAGGAAAACTCCACCATAAATCTCTGTCTGAGCACAGAATGTGAAACTGAGCAACCAGATGAAGACCTGCAGCAGTCAAAGAAGTGTATAAACTATTTCATAGAGTCACTGATCCCAGCTTGGTTTGGGTTGAAGGGACCTTAAAGCTCCTCCATTTCCAGCCCCTGCCCCGGGCAGGGACACCTTCCACTAGTGCAGGTCGCTCCAAGCCCCTGTGTCCAACCTGGCCTTGAACACTGCCAGGGATGGGACAGCCACAGCTTCTCTGGGCACCCTGTGCCAGCGCCTCAGCACCCTCACAGGGAAGAGCTGCTGCCTCAGAGCTCATCTCAGTCTCTCCTCGGGCAGGTTCAAGCCATTCCCCTTGGCCTGTCCCTACAGACCCTTGTCCAAAGCCCCTCTCCAGGTTTCCTGGAGCCCCTTTAGGTATTTGAACTGTGATGTCTGTTTATAATGAACCTGTTGGTGTTTCAGGATGTCTCAGAAGCCTGTTGAGACTGTGCAGTCAGGAGAGTAGAGGCTGTAGGAAGGGCAGAGATGACTCTGCTGGGGTGAGGTGGGTTTTAGGGGGTTGGGAACTGAGCATCAAGCTTCAGCATGGAAAGAAGCCTCCTGAGAGGGGATGTTGAGCCTGAATGGAAAGGGTGAAGCCTCTGATCTGACTGTGAAACTTGGAGGCTGTAACGGCTGCAAGGGCAGAACGTGCTCCAAGAGGAGAGGTTTCACTTATCCTACTGCTGACAGCATATATATCACAGTGCATGGATTTTTAGGAATCATGAATGCCTTTTGCATGGAGCAACGTGTCAGAAAAAGGAGGAATAAGTCTTCACATATGTCTGGGGGCTCTAAGAAACTGTGGTAGAATCACTTTGTAATAGTGACCAGAAGGTACTCAGACCTAACATCCTTGTAGGAGCATTAGCATGGGCTTGGGGGTGTTTGACTTTTAGGACTGGAGCTACATAAATGGGAAGAGGCTTTTAAGGAGGGAGATGGTGCTGTGGAAGGTGAAAAGCTCACAGTGGGCCTGGAAACAGTTCAGTGGCTCGTGGTAAAGGCAGAGCTTGTGTTACATGGTTACATTAAATAATCCTTATCTAGAAAACTGGCTTGGTTAAAGCAAATAACCCACTGCAGGTAAAAGTACATCCCTTCAAAAGGGAGCTTGTGTCCACATATGGAAAAAGGGAATATAGAGAAAGCTGGAACTGTTCAGCCTGGAGAAGAGAAGCTGCGTGGAGACCTCAGAGCAGCTTCCAGTGTCTGAAGGGGGCTACAAGGATGCTGGAGAGGGACCTTCATCAGGGACTGGAGCGACAGGACAAGGGGTGACGGGGTCAAACTGAAACAGGGAAGTTCAGGTTGGAGATAAGGCAGAAGCTCTTCCCTGTGAGGGTGCTGAGGCGCTGGCACAGGGTGCCCAGAGAAGCTGTGGCTGCCCCATCCCTGGCAGTGTTCAAGGCCAGCTTGGACACAGGGGCTTGGAGCAACCTGCTCTAGTGGAAGGTGTCCCTGCCCGGGGCAGGGGTTGGAGCTGGAGGAGCTTTAAGGTCCCTTCAACCCAAACCCATCACGGAGAGTGGGATCAGTGAAGTGTTGGCAGACCAGCCCCAGGTAACACTGGTTTTTAATGGAGGTTTTAAACCTGAAGAAGCTTCAGTCTTTTAGCAGAACTAATAGGCCCCAAAAGCCTTTTTTGCTGTTGACTTATATTATTGGTTTGTATTTATGCACTTTGCTGTTTGAGACTTTGGTTACAAGCATAATATTACTCATAAACACAATATTACTTTTCTGATCATAAGCGTGACCCATTTCTAAAAGCGTCACAGGAAGAGCAAGAAACAGGGTCAGGATTCCAAAAAGGATTTCTTTAGCTGTCAAACAGAATTCCATGTTCTGATTTAAGTGAGCAAATTATCTAAGCCAGGCACAGGGCTATTTTCTGCAAAAACCAAGTTAAATTTACAGAAGATTATAGACATTACTGAAAACCTGAAACTCAAAGGTTGGTTATCGACTGCCTGCTTGTACCTGGTGATTACTCATTTGTTGGGAGTTGTGTGTCAGATCTGATGTTCTGCTCTAAATTCTGGTCCTTATGATTCAAGAAATCAGTAAGATGCTCATTTTTAATTCAGCTCCAGTAGTGTAAAGAGTAATTTTGGAGAAACATTAAAGAAACCTCCTAAAATGTGTTCTTCAAATCAACCTTCACGTTTTGGGTTAATTTTTGTTGGACAAGTGGATTCATGTCAAGAGATTTTAAGTGTATTGAAAGTGATTGAGCATCATTTTCAAAAATCAGGACTAAGTGCAGTGTGAAGGCAGCTGAGCTGCATAATTCAGTGTTCAAAACCCATGTGATGTGCTGCAGGAAATAGAGTTTCCTTAAAACATGCTGTTAATGCAGATGACCCTTGTTTTTGTGCGGGTTTCCCCCCTGTCCTCCAGGAAGGATGATCCTAATGCAAGGATTTATAACTTGAATAAGGGAAGATCTTCCTGAGCGTTTTCATTTCACCTTTAGTCGCTCTGGTTCCATCCCTGCAGGTACCCAAACACAGCCTGCGAACTGCTGACCTCGGACGTGCCGCAGATCAACGACAAGCTGGGAGGGGATGAAACTCTGCTCAACATCCTCTACGACTTCTTGGATCACGAGCCTCCTCTGAACCCTTTGCTTGCCAGTTTCTTCAGTAAGACTATTGGGAATCTCATTGCAAGAAAAACAGAACAGGTAGTGATTAGATTTGTCCTGATTCCTGAGCACAAACGCATTCACTAATGGTCGTGTTGTATGGCAGTATCATTGCTACCCTCGTCACCTCCTTGTAGGCTTAGAGCTGAAAAGCAGCTCGCTGTACTCGTTAAGGTTGGAGTTTTCATGTAGTGTACAAAGAGCTCTTCGCATTCCTCACTGATGGATGCTGGGTTGACACCTTTGCAGTTTCATTTTGGATCTGCAGTAGCTGGGATATTCCTGTGCCAAAGCTCAAACTTTTCATGCTAAGGTATATTGATGCAGCCTTTGATCATAGCCCAGAATCAGCTCATTGCATAAACAGCACCTCAGTCTCATGCCTGTAAAAGGGGTGATGGAAACATGAGCTGAGCAGTGATTTAGGAATACACATGCTCTGATTCCAAAGGGATCTTTTAAACGAAGGCTGTGGAGAGCCTTAGGGGGATGTAGGATTCTCCAGCTTCACCAGCTTCTTAATGCTCTTAGTCCTGTGGGCTTGGGTTTCTTTATGGCATAGGGGAAAGAAAAGATAGAATCATAGAGTAGTTTGGGTTGAAAAGGACCTTAAAATCATCCAGTTCCAGCCCCTGCCATGGGCAGGGACACCTTCCACTAGAGCAGGTTGCTCCAAGCCCCTGTGTCCAAGCTGGCCTTGAACACTGCCAGGGCTGGGGCAGCCACAGCTTCTCTGGGCACCCTGTGCCAGCGCCTCAGCACCCTCACAGGGAAGAGCTGCTGCCTTATCTCCAACCTGAACTTCCCCTGTTCCAGTCTGAACCCATCACCCCTTGTCCTATCACTCCAGTCCTGATGAAGGTCCCTCTCCAGCATCCTTGTAGCCCCCTTCAGACCCTGGAAGCTGCTCTGAGGTCTCCAGCAGCTTCTCTCCTCCAGGCTGAAAAGCCCCCCAGAAGACATGGCTGAAAAGTTAGCCAAAAAGATTTGATTTTGTATGGCCTTGAAATGAGAAGGTTATTCTCTTGTTCTCTGGAGACTTTCTGAACCCAGTAGCTGTTTGGCATCAAGCGAGGTTGGTTGAGAGGAGAAGGTGAAGCGCAGCAGCTCTGTGTGCCGTGTCCCTGTGTTGTATTAGCAGCTGATGGTGCCACTTTCATTTTTTTTTTTTAGGTGATTGCATTTTTAAGGAAAAAAGACAAATTCATTAGCCTGGTGCTAAAGCACATAGATACATCAGCCATGATGGACCTGCTGCTGCGCCTCATCAGCTGCGTGGAGCCCGCGAGCCTGCGGCAGGAAGTGCTCAATGTGAGAACCTCCTTCTTTCTTTCTTCACAAGATTGGGAACTAGGGGGGTGTTCGTTTGTGGCTTTAAGGAATAGAGTTCTCTTTGTTACTTATTATGAGAGCAGTACCACACTTCTGAGTCTGGAATCATGCTGGTGTCTTCATGTTGGGTGCTACTTTGGGTGCTTCAGCCTATTTGTGGCTTGCACAGCAGAAGCCTGGGTCCGTCCCTGGCAGTAAAGTGTTTTCAGCTCATTTTTCCATATAGCAACCACTGTTTGCTCCAGCTGGTTTTGCTGTAGAGCTTACCAAGGAAATTCATCATCTTTCCCAGTGTCCAGGATTTTAGACTGATCATTTGGGACAGTAACCTGTTTTAATTCCTTGCCGTGTTCAAGGGGGTGGGTTTGATTTCTGCAGATGATATCATGTGCCTCCTCCTTCCCCTTCCTCTCTACTAGGCAGCCTTAGAAAATACCTTATTGAGATGCTCAGTTTGCTGTACAGGAAGGACAAGTTTTTCTCCCTTCATAGCCCAGCCTGGGTGAGGCTTTTCCCCCTTTAGTGGGCAGATGTGCAGGGTTGGAGGGAAAGAACCTACTGTAGCTCCCTCTCAGTGCAGCAGAAGAGCAGTGATGAATGGAAAGCTCTGCTTGAGTCACTGAAGCCCACACCAGGATGTATATCTTAGGTAAGCCTTGCCGCTTAAAATCTTCTGTGTCCAGAGCACGGACCACAGCACAGCTTAGCAGGTGAATGTTCTTTGCAGAGGCTCGTGGTAGATGATTGTTGTTGCTCTGTTCCTCCTCTCAGCCGTGCAGTGCATCGGGCAGTACACACGCTCTTAGAGAGGAGGGAAGAAATGCAGGCACAGATCGATCCTTAGAGATTTGTGTGTGCATTCACCCATGGGAGGAAGTCTTCATGTTTGTATGGGAAAGTTGCAGTTCAGTTGGTTAGACATCAAATGGTAACACCACCGAAGGAGATGGGAGGAAAAAGCCTTCAGGAGATGGGCTGGTGGAGGATAATCATGGAATCACAGACTGGTTTGGGATGACGGGAGCTTAAAGCTCCTCCAGCTCCAACCCCTGCCCCGGGCAGGGACACCTTCCACTAGAGCAGGTTGCTCCAAGCCCCTGTGTCCAACCTGGCCTTGAACACTGCCAGGGCTGGGGCAGCCCCAGCTTCTCTGGGCACCCTGTGCCAGCGCCTCAGCACCCTCACAGGGAAGAGCTTCTGCCCAAGAGTTCATCTCAGTCTCCCCTCTGTGAGCTTAACAGATTATTTTATTATTAACAGATCTTCAATTATTAACATTATTAACAGATCTTAACATGTTATGTCAGTTTGGGTGTTTTTTCCCTTTTGAATTTCATTTTCTGTGTCCCAGAAATTGAACAGCAATTCCTGTGTTCCCTCTCTTCATTACCCCGCTTTGTGGTCACCCAACTGCCCCCAGGGCCCATGATTCTGGCAGCCCAGGCAAAAAGAGCAAATCTTCTTATCCATGCTTATTGTGGAGCTCCCAGCTGGAATCAGTAAGGCCCATGAGCTCAACTATTGGGGGCTTGAGGGAGGAGGTTGATACCCATGAAGCTGAAACTGCAGTGGAGAGCTGGGGTTTAACTTAGAGTCATGGAATCAATCAGGTTGGAAAAGACCTTTAAGATCATGAGGTCCAACCTTTACCCCAGCACTGCCAAGGCCACCACTAACCTGTGTCACTAAAACTTGCTGTGCTCTGCAAGGGAAAGGAAATACCCTTAATGTGGGAGTGTTAAGAAGTGGATTTCTCCAGGGCTCTGGTAGGAGTAGCTGGAACTTCAACAGGTAGGTCAGAGTTCTTCTGCTGAAATGGATTGGCAGGTAGGTTCTGCACAAAGCAACAAGCAGGCTGAAACACCCTCTGCACCCTGTCTGTGGAGCTTAACTTGTGGGGAAAATGGAGTGTGTGTGCTTTTTATTGCAGTTGTGCAACGTGTTTGTAGGGTGGGAATACCCAGAGCTTCCTGTCACAACCTGGGCTCATCATTGTGGTGCTGTGCAAACATGGGGTGTGTAATGTAGAGGAGAGATGGGTAATTCTATTGTCCAGGAGACCATGAATATGCATAACTGGTCGATTTGAGCTGCTGGTTTTGAGAAGATAGAAATGAGGATTTAATTACTTTTGGTGAAGCTGTTTGGGTGAATTGCCAACTGAAGCTACCTGAGCTGTCAGAAGATTGAGTCTCCAGATCTGAAAGGAGGGTTTCAGTAGTCACATCCATGGAATCATGGAATCCCAGGTTGGAAGGGACCTCCAAGATCATCTGGTCCAACCTTTCTACGCAAAGCATGACATAGACTAGATAGCCCAGCACCCTGCTCTTCCCATTCTCTGCGATGACCTCCTTCCCACATAACCTGCTACGAGGGTCAAGGACCAGGCAGGCCTAACAGCCGAGGTTACCAGTGAAAATAACATCATCCAGGCACAGGGAGGTGAGCAGAGGTGGGTATAGACCGACTGAGCCAAGAGGGAATGGGCAGTGGAATGGAGATAGCAGGACTGATGTATTAAGACCCAGCAGGCATCAACTCCACTGTGGTGTCTTGAGAAAAAGCTTCAGGAGTTGAATTTTGAGGGTAGAAAACTAGAAACCAGTGGGAAAATTTGAGGAGAGATTGATAGGTGAGGAAGAAGGTCTTAGGAACCCAGTTCTTTTAACTTTTGCGTACACTGGATGATGGGAAGAAGAAATCCCAGAAGCCAGATCTGAAAATACCATCTAGGATGAAGTACTTGGTGTGGCAGCTGTATGTTGTGTACATTCCCAGACACCATTAGTGTTATTGTAATAAGGAGACACGCCAGAAAGGAGGCAAAGTCAAGACATTTTGGACTTTGTAGGAAACCAGCAGTATTATTGATGGGGAGGGTCACTGTAACTGGTGATGGGAAGTGTCTGTTTTATCAGCCAGACACCATGCTCAACATGGCATCAGGGAGGAGAGGATGACATGTAGAAGGGTTATTAGAGTGAAGAGTCACTGTAAGGATTAGAGTTGAAGTCATGTGAATAGATAACATAGAAATGAGCATTCAAGAGGAGAAGACTTGCACAAGCCTTCCTGGAGAGAAATGGAAGCAGGAGCTGCTCGTTTTCTCTGACTCATCTGAAGAGCGACGGAAGATTCCATCATTGCAGAAACCTCCAGAGTCTTCTTTTCATTCACGTTGGGTCAGTTATTTCAGAAGCAGCAGAGAGTGCATTAGCTTGACTGATGAGTTTGATGGGTGTTAGACATCGAGCAGGTTGCCTGGAGTGGAGACCACAGAAATGAGAGTGGAAGGAGATGTTGTGCTTGCAGATGGAGCTGGGAAGGGAGAGAGTGGAACATTACATTTGCAGATGGTGTTCCTGGTTTGCATGTGGTCAGGAAGGGGAGGGGAAGTGAGAGCTTGCGCTGAGGAAAGGCGGATGAAGCTGGCATGGAGTAGGGAGGTGAGGTCTGGTAACAACCATCTCAAAGTCTGAGGAATTACTTGTGTAACCAGCAGTAGGGCTGCAGGAGTAGGAAATGGGAGGGAAGAACATGCTGGTAATTACACTAATGGTGCTGCAGATGAGATAGTGCTTATGGCTGATCTGTTCCATGCTTTCCACAGGCACAGAGGGTTTTGGTTCCATGGGCAGGGTTCACATGCTGAGGCAAATCAAAATGCATCTCAATGTGTGCTGGGGGTGTTTGGATACTGCCTGTGGCTTGGATTGGGAAATGGGAGGAAAGCTTGTTTTATGCAAAGCTTCTGAAGATCCTCTTGTTTTGAACTGTGTGATATCCACAAGGATTTTCTTTCCGCTTTCCTTCCCCTCCAGTGGCTTAATGAAGCAAAAATCATTCAGAGACTTGTGGAATTGATCCATTCAAGCCAGGATGAGGACGTGAGTATCACAAGACTCAGTCTTGTCTTTGTGGGCAGAGGGTCCCGTAAGCTCCAGAAGACTCTCTTTGTCTCTTCAAGAACACCCAGGTGACTTGTGGAAGGCGATCACAAGGGAGGATGTGTATGGGTGCACATCCTGTGGTGGTCTCTGACTGCCCTGCTTTGATTCAGCTGGGGATAGGGCTCCGGGTTACACGTTCCTGGGAATGCCAGCACCAAAGAACTGATGGCGCAGGGTTCCTTTGGTGTAGTGCTGATGCCAACACTATGATTCCTTCATCTCAGCACCAGAAATGACCCCTTCTGAGAGAAAACCTGGGAAGTATCGTGCTGATTTGTGTGTCTTCAGCAGTGCTGTGGTACGGGTGAATGCCGAATTACAGCATGAGGACTCACACATACAGCAGCTACAGAGAGTCTCTGACTGATAGTCAGGATGAGATGATGAATTTATCAAAGTACTACTTTAAAGCCTTTTAATACGTAGTAATTATGTTGTAAAGGGGTTTATGAAGCCATTCCCTTTTCTTCATGCAGAAAACCTGAGTAGTGGGAAGTAAGAGTGAAATACTTGACATTGTTAAGTACAGGAAGTTAAGTCCAGTTTAAAACCCTCTTTGATTTCAAAATCTCTTGATGCTTCTAGTAATCAACATTGTATTTAACAGATGAATAATTTAGAGCAGGGTAGCACTTGCTTTGGAAAACCCTCATGTATTCAGCCTCCTGCATTCCTACCATGTTCAGTTGTCTCTGATGGCCAGAAGGAGCCAAGCAGAGGCCTTAGCACTGAAATGGGCTCTGTGTTGTTTTACAGAGGCAATCAAATGCTTCTCAGACCCTGTGTGATATCATAAGATTGAGCAGAGACCAGAGCAATCAACTCCAGGACATACCTGAGCCTGATCCACTTCTCACAGCACTGGAATCGTAAGTACTTCTCAGAGGACTGTTGCTGAGCAGCAGATGGCTGCTAATACTGTCACTTACTGATGGCCCTGCAGGGACACCAACTGTGTGTGTCAGGCCTTGGCTTAACTCTTGACATCTGTGACAACCAGTTAATCCTGCTCTTAGCTTGTAGCATCACTTAACCACCTCTGTGGAGATCACTGGGGTTTGTGGCTCTCTGTGAAGGCAGGAGATCAGGGTTGGTGGTCCCCAAAGCTCACAAACTAATTCCAGATGAGGCAATTCTAGTGAGTGTGTTGTAGTGAATTTGGAGAAGGGTGAACTGGAAAGGCTGCAAAGGCTTACAATTCATAGAACCCCAGCCTGGTTTGGGTTGAAGGGACCTTAAAGCTCCTCCAGCTCCAACCCCTGCCCCGGGCAGGGACACCTTCCACTAGAGCAGGTTGCTCCAAGCCCCTGTGTCCAGCCTGGCCTTGAACACTGCCAGGGATGGGGCAGCCACAGCTTCTCTGGGCACCCTGTGCCAGCGCCTCAGCACCCTCACAGGGAAGAGCTTCTGCCCAAGAGCTCATCTCAGTCTCCCCTCTGGCAGTTTGAACCCATCACCCCCTGTCCTATTGCTACAGTCCCTGATGAAGACTGAAGAGAATTGATGATCAGCTGGTGCAGCATCATCAGGGTGATGGAATGAACATCAAATCTAGGTTCTCAATAGCTGCTGGCTGTGTGCTATGAAAGTGAATTCAGTTAATTACAGTAAACTCACTCCTTTTCCTGGCTCTGCCTCTTTGCTTGTGCTGACGGAGTGGATTTAGCTGCTACTTATCAAAATCATTTGCCCTCATGCATTATTCATGTATTTTTACATTTTTATCTCGTGTTTTATTTATACAAATGTAAATGAGATTTTGTTCAGTGTTAGAAAATAGTAGAAATGAGGCTGTGAACTTGAGCAGCACAGTTTTTATCTGGATATGTGACTTAGCAAGGCAAGAAAGGCACTTGCGGAGTCCTGGGGTTTGGAGAAGTGTCAGTAACATCCTCAGAAGTAGCATGAGGGGGAATGTGAACCCTGAGGGGGAGCAGGCACGGCTGCGGTAACTGTAGAAGAGCACCAGTGCCAGCCTGAACCTCCTGTTCCTCCCATCTTTTATTCATCCAGCATGGCAAATAGAGAAAAGTGTTACCTTTGTGCTATTTACTCTCCATTCTAGAGCTGTTCCAGAATCATTTTGGATGCTGGAAAGGACCCAGTGTCCTTTTTCCTTCTGACTCCAGCAGTCTTAGACTCATAGAATGGTTTGTGCTGGGAAGGACCTAAAAGCTCCTCCAGCTGCAACCCCTGCCCTGGGCAGGGACACCTTCCACTAGAGCAGGTTGCTCCAAGCCCCTGTGTCCAACCTGGCCTTGAACACTGCCAGGGCTGGGGCAGCCACAGCTTCTCTGGGCACCCTGTGCCAGCGCCTCAGCACCCTCACAGGGAAGAGCTTCTGCCTTATAGAATCATAGACTCATGGAATGGTTTGGGTTGGAAAGGACCTTCAGATCATCTAGTTCCAACCCCTCAACTTCCCCTGTTTCAGGTTAAACCCATCGATCCTGCCCCCGGTGTGTCAGTATTTGGAAGGCTCCTTATCTCGGTTCAAGAGCTCAGAGAGATGGTGAATTCATTGAAATATCTCTAGAGGATAATAGCTAAAGCTACTAAAAATGTGCATATTCGGTGCAGTTTGCATTTGTTGGCCTCTGATTCCAGGTCCTGGATCTTATTATGGCACTGGTGACTGATAAGGGTCTGCTTGGACTGTTTGATGTCTTTCCTCTGCAAGCCTGATGGATAATTTTAGCTAATAGCTCCATATTGTCCTTAGTAAATTAAAGTTAACATTTGGTTGTAAGAGTTCTGTCCTGTTGATACAGGAGCACAGCACTTCGGTGTGGAGTCTGGGTGGTTGTAACCAGGTCTTGCCATAGTGATGAGCAACCAGTTGAGAAAGCTGGTGTAGAACCATTCTTGTGCCTGAGACTTCAGAGGAATGTCTTCATTGTGTGTCAGAGAATGCAGAAACCGCAGCCTTCTCCTCCAGGAAACCCAGAATTGGATATTCTGTGATTAAAGCAATTGCCAAATGCTTCCAGTTCTTACCCTGCTCACGGTGTGTGTTGCTCAACAGGCAGGAATGTGTGGAGCAACTCCTGAAGAATATGTTTGATGGAGAACAGACTGAAAACTGCATAGTGAATGGCACACAAGTTCTTCTGACGTTGCTGGAAACAAGGCGCTCTGGGTAAGTCAGCGCTGGCTTCTCTCACAGGAATGACTGTAGGAACTCCAAACTAGTTCAGTTTAGGCAAAAAAAGGGAATTTTTGTGGCCTGGTGAGAAGTGCTGACTGGAAATGAGTACAGGGAAAGCTGATCAGTCGCTCTGATGCTGTTGCTCATGGCAGTTGGAGCAGTTGGCACCTAGTTCTTCTCTGGGCTCCTCAAGTTCTGCGTGTGTAGAGCAGTCTTGCCTGTCGTATCAGAGATCTTAGAGCAGGATGTGTGCAGAGGGGGAGGCAGTGGTACCTCATGCATAATCTGTGAGATGTTGTGTGTGTTTCTATCTACATATATGGTGTATAGTTTCAATTTTGTTTTTTAAAATTATATCACTCTTTTTATGGAGAGAGAGAAAAAGCAAAAAAGAGTTCTGGGAAGGGAGAGAGACATGGAAAATGTCCATTGTGGGATGGTTTGGGTTGGAAAGGACCTTAAGATCATCCAGTTGCAATGCCACAGGCAGGGACACCTTCCACTAGAGCAGGTTGCTCCAAGCCCCTGTGTCCAAGCTGGCCTTGAACACTGCCAGGGATGGGGCAGCCACAGCTTCTCTGGGCAGAGGATATTTGGGCAGCAATGTTTGGGAAGTTTTAAAACCCAGGAAGCCCTTTGGGAATGTGTCTTTGTCAGCTCTGCAGACAGATCAGTCCCTGTCTTCCCACTCAGCTCATTCACAGATTTGATGATGGAAACAGCGTTTTGTAAATGATATATTAATACAATGTAGTTACGGAAATATATTCAGTAGCTGGAAATTACTATCCTTCATCTGCATAGTTATTTTTGAAGAGAAGATGACCACTACAGGCAATGTGCCTGGAATCCATCCTGAGATGTTGTCAGATCTTAACTGTTGTGCTTTTCTGTACAGAGTGGAAGGACTGATGGACTCATACACTCAGGGATTTGAAAGGTCTTACACTGTCAATAGCAGCATCTTACATGGTATTGAACCACGGCTGAAGGATTTCCACCAGCTGCTGCTCAATCCTCCCAAGGTAGAGCATCTCCTCCTTCATCAGGAGCATGGAATCATGGAACCATTTGTGTTGGAAGGAAGCTTAAAGCTCCTCCAGCTCCAACCCCTGCCCCGCGCAGGGACACCTTCCACTAGAGCAGGTTGCTCCAAGCCCCTGTGTCCAACCTGCCCTTGAACACTGCCAGGGATGACCCACAGCTTCTCGGGGCACCCTGTGCCAGCACCTCAGCACCCTCACAGAGAAGAGCTGCTGCCTTATCTCCAACCTGAACTTCCCTATTTCAGTTTGACCCCATCACCCCTTGTCCTGTCACTCCAGTCCCTGATGAAGGTCCCTCCCCAGCATCCTTGTAGCCCCCTTCAGACCCTGGAAGCTGCTCTGAGGTCTCCAGCAGCTTCTCTTCTCCAGGCTCAACAGCCCCAATGTTCTCAGCCTGTCTCCATATGGGAGCTGCTCCAGCCCCTGCTTGTCCTCATGGCCTCCTCTGGACTTGCTCCAACAGCTACACGTCCTTTTTATGTTGAGGACCCCAGAACTGCACCCAGTGTTGCAAGGGGGGTCTCACAGAGCAGAGCAGAGGGGCAGGATCCCCTCCCTGAGCTGCTGCTCACGCTCTGGGGGTGCACCCAGCACATGGGGGGTTCTGGGCTCAAGCGCACACTGAAGCTGGGCCATGGGGAGCTTCTCCTCACCCAGCACCTCAAGTGCTTCTCCACAGGACTGGTTTAGGCTTGGCTGCAGAGAAGAGTTGTGAAATGAAGTAGTTGTGTTTAGTCAGATCGTTGTGTGTGTGCGCTGGAGGAGATGCTGCTCCTGGCTGAGGTGCTCATGATGTGTGTCTCTGACAGAAAGCAGCAATCCTGACCACAATTGGAGTCCTGGAAGAGCCACTGGGGAATGCTCGTCTTCATGGATCTCGTCTAATAGCTGCTCTGCTTCACACAAACACTCCCAGTATTAATCAGGAACTATGCAGACTCAGTACCATGAATTTATTACTTGTGAGTAACACCCTGAGACACCGGGAGTTGGGAGAGGGAAGAACTTCAAACTGGGAACACTTCTGCTCCTCTTTCATCTGTTCAGTGCAGTTTGTTTCATGTGTGCCAGCATCTGTCATTTTTCTATTCTGCTGAAAGTAGGAGCATCATCCTCAGGGCAGCTTTTGTGATACAAATACAGACACTTGTATTGTGAAATGGACCCCAAGCTTTCAGTTTATTGTTTCAGTAGTGTAGTAGTGTGTATGCAGAGCAGGCTGGTTACTGGGAAAGCTCGAGTACCTTGTGTGTATCAGCTCTCATCATACTGAGAGATCACCTTTCTCTGGCTCTGAGCAGGGCTGTGTTCTCAACACTGCCAATAGAACCTGGGTGGGCTTTCAGAAAATCATTTTCATACTTAGAAATTCGTGGAACCCCAGCCTGCTTTGTGTTGGAAGCACCTTAAAGCTCCTCCAGCTGCAACCCCTGCCCCGGGCAGGGACACCTTCCACTAGAGCAGGTTGCTCCAAGCCCCTGTGTCCAAGCTGGCCTTGAACACTGCCAGGGATGGGGCAGCCACAGCTTCTCTGGGCACCCTGTGCCAGCGCCTCAGCACCCTCACAGGGAAGAGCTTCTGCCCAAGAGCTCATCTCAATGTCCCCTCTGGCAGGTTAAAGCCCTGCTCTGTCCAGCCTGGCTAAATTATTTATTATAACTAAATTATATTAGTATATAGTGGTTGGTTTATTGGAAGGTGCATCTTACAGCAGAGCAAACAGAGCACAAGTGGATACTGAGGCACATGAGTAATACTGTTTTAGTAGAATTGCTGACTGAAGTAGTTGGGCAATGTTCTAACATCGTTTTGTTGTTAAGAACGGGAAGATGTATCTAGAAGGAACTAATTTGTTTCTTCTCTTTTTCCAGGACTTATTTTTTAAATACACATGGAATAACTTTTTGCATTTCCAAGTGGAATTGTCCATAGCAGCTATTCTCTCCCATTCTGCCCAAGAGGGAAAAACTACTACTACTAATGACCTAGAAAGCAAAGAAGAGGTGCTGAATGGAAACGTGGCCACAGAGAACATAGAGACTCCAGAAAACAATACAGAGAATATCATGGTCACTCATGTAAGTCTGGTCGTGTCCCCTGAGGAATGCAGACTGATTGAGTCAGTCTTCTCTTGGTGTGATGAACCCTTCAGGAGTTTGTTTACAAGTGTCTAGAGATCATAGAATCACTGAATGGTTTGGGTTGGAAAGGACCTTAAGATCACCCAGTTCCAACCCCCTGCTGTGAGCAGGGACACCTCACCCTGGACCATGTCACCCAAGGCTCTGTCCAGCCTGGCCTTGAACACTGCCAGGGCTGGGGCAGCCACAGCTTCTCTGGGCACCCTGTGCCAGCGCCTCAGCACCCTCACAGGGAAGAGCTTCTGCCTTAGATCTAACCTGAAATTCCCCTGTTTCAGTTTAACCCGTCACAGTCCCTGTGAAGAGGTTCTGTCAGATCTGGATGGATGTGTATTTGCTTTTATACATCTGGGTTTAGCATCTAGTTACAAAATAAACGAATCACTCATCTCCTTTAATGGGCTTGTGAATCTATTTTTACTTAATATTTTAGTAAAAATGCATATAAACTGCATGTAAGACCCCAAAAAAGTAACTGCAAGTAGCTAACTACATTTTAGCTTCTGCATAGAGGCCCTGATGGTGAAAGCTTCTTGTTGTTGGGTTGTAAATGACAATGATGTCCTCACGGCTGCTCAGAGAAGCCCCAGAACAGGCTGAAGACATTTATAGGTGTTGCTGCTTGCCTTGGATCCTCTGAGAAAGAAGAAACTTGAGCTCTTGGGACAGAGAAGTGCTGAACTCCAAGTTCTTGTTCAGTAGAGTGAAGGACTGAACAAGAAGTAACTGTAGTTCAATGCAGACTTCTGAGGCCTGAGTCTCCCTTTGGCAAACGTTTGACGTTTTCTTCCTGTCCCTTTGTTTTCCCCTCCAGCTGTTCCAGAAATGCTGCCTTGTGCAAAGGATATTGGATGCCTGGGAGGCCAATGACAAAATACAGTAAGGATTTGGGGAACGGAGGCTTTCGTGCTGGGGCTGCACGTTTAGAATAATGCCTCGAAATAGTCTTCTAATTATTTGGATAATTCAGTGGTGTCTGTAATGATTTGGGTTGTGACTGTGATTTGGAATTAGGTTTATTTATTTATATAAGTGATTTGGAAATAGGTGATATTTAAATTCACCAGTAGACATATAATGTGAAAGCATGATTTGATTTATTTTATTTCATGGCTGTAACATCTCAACTCAAACACAATGTGCTGCTTTCTTGCTTTCTCAGGATATTACACTGCATTGACTTTGCTTTTTGTTTAAATGCACAATTATATTCTCCCCAGTGAGCAACTGAGTGGAAGCAGAGGTGGGAAAGCATTTTTGTCCCACATTTGCCCCAGATTTAATATTAAATGGTATAAATCACTCTGATTTGATGCTGATTGCAGTGATTATAAGGACTAAATCATTAAAAAAGCCTAAAACATTGCTAAAGTGAACATTTTATCCAGGCTTCTGCTTCTTTGTCCGTGTAAATATTTTGGTCCTCCCTCACTATTTTGAGCTCTTCATGGCTTCACAGTGCTTTGCAGTCCCACTGTAATTACTGTAGGGTCACTGTCAGGCCATAATTGGTGGGTTTGGGTTTGATTTTTTTGGGTTTGGTTTGGTTTGATTTGGGGTTTTTTGGTTTGTTTTTTCCTCTTGCAGCCCCTTGGGCTGTTGATAGCAAATGTCACTGATAGTTTCATTGCACAACTCTAATTGTGCACAACTCTGTAGGTAACAGAAACATCTGTGGTTGCTGCTTAAAAGTTTTCCTAATGAGATTAGATAGGAACTAGGGCTCATCCGTATTTCATGCCAGACAGTTCCAGTCACCACACTGGAAGGAATTTTAATGGACAGAAAAAAACAGTGCCTTAACAGGAGGTATGTCAGATGATGTGCTTTAAGGAACTTGAGTTTAGCTGAGATGATCGATGCACTCAGTGAGGAGATGGAGTCAGGCACTGGGAGCCCCAGGGGCAGAGATTCCAAATGGAGACATTGGGAGTTATCTTAATAATCATCAGCAAGAATGGTGGTAATATATTTTCCATTTGGAACATGGGATTCTTCTTGAGTTCTCTTAGTTATTCCATGTGTTCCTGATGGACTTTGTAACTACTAGCATTTAACTTCAAGGTAACTCGCATAATTCTTTCACTGCAGTGCATTTATCTGTCTGGGTTATTAGAATTGAAAATGGAGTGTGGCCATCAGTGTGAGTTCACAGACAAATGGAGTGAGCGTGGCCATCAGTGTGAGTTCACAGACAAATGGAGTGAGCGTGGCCATCAGTGTGAGTTCACAGACAAATGGAGTGAGCGTGGCCATCAGTGTGAGTTCACAGACAAATGGAGTGAGCGTGGCCATCAGTGTGAGTTCACAGACAAATGGAGTGAGCGTGGCCATCAGTGTGAGTTCACAGACACATCCCTTTGATGCAGCAGCTTTCTTACGTGTTGGCTCTGCTGGCATCTAGGACAGAACCGTTTGTTTTACAGTTGGAGACATCCTAAAGTGAGGTGGAAACTTCTTGTCACCCTGTTTGTAAGGGGGTTGTTTCTGTTTAGTTTGATTCTAACCCACCAGTTTTGTTTGTGATGGTCAACCTGAATTTGACTTCAGGATTTGGGTACTTTAATGTGCCTAATCAGAGAATCCCAAACTGATTTGGGTTGAAGGGACCTTAAAGCTCCTCCAGCTCCAACCCCTGCCACGGGCAGGGACACCTTCCACTAGAGAAGGTTGCTCCAAGCCCCTGTGTCCACCCTGGCCTTGAGCACTGCCAGGGCTGGGGCAGCCACAGCTTCTCTGGGCACCCTGTGCCAGCGCCTCAGCACCCTCACAGGGAAGAGCTTCTGCCCCAGAGCTCATCTCAGTCTCCCCTCTGGCAGGTTCAAGCCATTAATAATAATATTACAATGAATAAGAGTTTTCTCAGCACCAGTGTAAAGGCAGAAATGCTGTTTCTAAACACAGTGCTGTGAAATTTCTTACCAGGAATGTGCCGCTGGGTTTAGATTTTCCTTCCAAATCTCAGTCCTTCTTTGGACACTGTAGAAAGCAGATTTATTTCAGGCTCTGCATCCCCTGGTTTTCATATTGCTGCTCTGCTAGAACCAGTAAAGACTCAAAGAAAAGTGACTCAGAGACTGCTTGGATTTAGTGCTGGCTTCTTAGATTTGTTTTGTAAGAGGGATATCTAATGGTTGTAGATTAGTGTCTTTTGTTCTCTTGAATTCATCTGCTTAATGCTTCAATTGCAAGTAAAACTAAAGCCTTTTTGGTAGTAATGATGTAAATTCTTACTGCTGGGAGTTTTCTTTAGTGGAAATTATAATCAGATTATTTATATCTGCAGCAGTCTTTCAATGTACCCACTTAGTTTCCTCTTTGGTACTGGCTTAGGGTTTGCCTAGTGTATCCTGAACCGGATGAATGATCCCTTCCTTCTCAGTACATGGAAGGTGCAGAAAGGTTGGTGTGTCCTGGAAGGCTCATGCTGCACGAGCAGGGGCATTCCAGCCAGCTCACTGCTGCATTTTCCATGGGGACCCTGCCCGCAGCAGTGCCTGTGTATACCAGACCCCTGCAGCCGTGGGGAGCTCACAGCATGTGTGGCTGATGGAAGTGGTTATGGACGTGACCCTGGGGCTCCTGTGCCTGGTTACTTTGCTAAGGGCTCTTTCTCTTTCCAGGGCAGAAGGTGGGATGAGGAGAGGCAACATGGGCCACCTCACCCGGATAGCCAACGCCGTGGTGCAGAACATGGAGAAGGGCCCCATGCAGACTCAGATCAGTGAGTTCATTAAAGGTTCGTGCTCCTGTCTCTGGTCCTTCCTCCCCTCCTTCATTCCATAACCCTTTGTAGGCCCTTTGGAAAGACAGTTGTATGTATTTCATGATGATTCCTTTTGTAATGAAAAGGATTTCCAGTTAAATATCACAGTTTCCCATAACTTTAACAATTGGTCGAGACCAAACTTGGTTGCTCTTTATTTTCATACAATTAGGTTGAAATTATTGGAGCTTTGTTTTTGCAACCAGAGACTGAAGGTAACTTGTTTGTGCTAAAGAATGCTGCTTTCCTTCTGATTTCTGTGCACATTTATAGTGGTTCTTTACAGCATTCTAAAGTGGTGTTTCTATACTTCTCTATTCTCATATCAGTCTGAGAGTAAGAGACACAGTAAATGATGTGTCACAGAGGCTCTACATCTCTGCTTTGTCAGATACTCACCTTGCCAGACTTTGTCCATCACATCTTCATTGGATTTTTTTGGAGAACTAGATTTATCTGACATTTTCCTGTGAGAGGAAATCAGATTTTCCATCTGCATCTATTCAGGGAAACGATGAGTTTCCATTTTTGGCTTCTATCAGGCATCTCCAGTGGTAAGACACTGTAAGAGAGTACTTGGTGTGTTGTCAGATCTACATGAAAACGGACAAGTTACAAAGATTTCAGTAAAGGCTGAAAGGTTCACAGGTCCTGGTGATTTCCCTCCCTTGTTTCACTGTTCTGGGCCTGGGGGGATGAAGACAACATTACTCATAGCAACCATGTGGTGCTGTGTTTGGGAGTTGTGATAAATGGTGCTGATCACACACCACTGGTTTAGTTCTCACTGAGCTTGCACAGTACCAAGGCTTTCCCTGTGTCCGTGCTGCATACCCCAGTGAGTAGACAAGGTGGACAAGAGCATGGGGGCTGGCCTGGGCTGACTGAAGAGCTATTCCATATATTACTCCTATACTCAGAAGTAGGAACTTTGTATGGTAACTTCTGCTCAGAAACTGGCTGAGCATCAGTCTGCTGGTGGGAGGTTGTGAGTGAGTGTCTTTGCATCACTTGGTTTGGGGGTTTTCCCTGCTTTTTTCTTCACTTATTAAACTTTCTTTATCTCAGCTTTGGAGTTTTTGCCACTTTTAGTCTTCCAGTTCTCTCCCCCATCCTGCAGTGTGTGGAGTGAGCAAGCAGATATGTGGGTGCTTAGTTTCTGGCTGGGGTCAACCCACCATAGTCATAAAATCATAGAATCCCAGCCTGGTTTCGGTGGAAGGGACCTTAAAGCTCCTCCAGCTCCAACCCCTGCCCCGGGCAGGGACACCTTCCATTAGAGCAGGTTGCTCCAAGCCCCTGTGTCCAAGCTGGCCTTGAACACT